GGATTCGCCTCGAAATCCTGGTCGGAACGCGCCCCGGGAGAGAGGTCCAGGGAGTAGCGGTATCGGTGCCTTTTGGTTTCCCCAGGTACGGCAAGGTCGTGGGGTGCGACGAATGCGACCCCGGCGACGACTGCAAGTGCGAGATCACCTGCAAGAGCACGGACGCGCTCGTCGGAGGCAACAGCCCGAGGTGCGAGAAGGTGCCTTTGGTCTTGAAGAGCAAGAAGGCGTGCAGGGACATCGTCGATGAGGACGAGTGCCTGGCGAGCAAGGACAGTGGCGAGGCGAAGGAGCACTGCTGCTTCCAGGCGTCCTCCTCGGGGGGGCTCTGCGTCGCCCGCAGCGAGGCCGCCGGCGAGGTCCGGTGCGCTGTCGACCTGATGGGGAAGTGGACGAACCTGCCCAAGTGCAAGCCGAAGTGCGTCAACAGCTTCGCCGGCCTTCCCGGCGTCCGGCACGAGAGGTGCGACGACTGCGTCGTGGGCCAGGAGTGCGGCTGCAACGTGACCTGCGCAGAGGGCTGGGAGCACTACGGCGGGGCCGAGGGCACCAAGAGGTGCACCGGCAGGGGCACGTTCGAGAGGGCCCCGGCCTGCGGCAAGCCCGAGGCTCGGTGGCGAAGTCCGAGCCCCACTCCTCCTCCTCCTCCTCCTCCTCCTCCTCCTCCTCCTCCTCCTCCTCCTCCTCCTCCTCCTCCTCTCATCCTCCCTCCTCCTCTCCTCCTCCATCCTCCTCCTCCATCTGCTCTCTCCCCTCCTCCCTCCTCCTCCTTTTCCTCCTCCTCCTCCTCCTCCTCCTCCTCCTCCTCCTCCTCCTCCTCCTCCTGGGCAGCTCGACGGTCGGCGGGGGCAGGGCTCGGAGTTCGTCGGGCGTGCGGCGAGATGCGAGCCCTTCGGGGGTGGGCAGAAGCCTCAACAGTGGCACGTCGATGAGTGGTTTGTGCGTTTTCGGCTCTCGAGAGGGCGCCGTGGCCGTCATTTTCCAGGCCTGCGCCCGCCAGGTTTGGGCCTCGGGTCGTTTTCACTAAACCACGTTTTACTAAAGGGGGGCCTGTCCATCCCCGACCCTACGCCCGCCTCCCATCGATTCAGAAGAGCCGATGGTTGGTGGGGCGCGGGGCTCGGGTGCCGACGCCCACATGTCAGAGGAGCCGCCGGAGTGCCCGAGCCCTGATGCCAGCCCCGCGGTGGCCCCGACGTGGGCCATCTTCGCCACGAACGTCGAGTGCGCCGACTACGTCAAGGAAGCGGCCACCACGCTGGGCGGCTGCCAGGCGGCCTGCGAGGGCTACGGCGCCCTGGCCTTCTGGGAGAGCGGCCGCTGCGACTGCTGCAGGGGCGACCGGGTGCGGCGCCCGCAGGCTGGCGTGCGGCCTCCCAGCACCGACGTCTACGTCAAGGGCCCGCTGCAGTCCAGCGGCTGCTCCGGGTGCAGAGCGGGAGAGAGCTGCCCCGGGTGCAGCGTCGGCTGCGCCCCCGCACACGCGCTCGTGGCGCAGGGGTCCTCGCGCGGAGGCTCGTGGGCGAGGGGCATCTCCGCACCCGCGGCCTCGCGGGCCGGGCCCCTGGGCTGGGACCCCGCGGATGTGCGGGGCGTGGTGTTCGCGGATGCCCCGGGCAGAATGTCTCCGTGCGAGCGCGTATCCGCGGGATCGCGCCCCGGAGTCCAGACCGCGTGGGCGCGGATACGGGCATGTTCGCCGCTCGTGAGAGGCCATCCCAGGTGCGTCGCTGGCAGCATCGACAGGGAGTCAGCCGTGTGCGAGTCAGCCAGAGCGGAGGCAGATTGCCTGGCGATGGAGCAAGACGGCCAGCCGTGCTGCTGGGACGGCACGACGTGCTTGAGAAAGGGGTCTTCGATGATCCATTCCATGGTGAACCTGCAGTGCGCCCCGATGAGGCAGGCAACCTGGCAGGACCTCCCGACTTGCACGCCAGTGTGCTACAACGACTTCCAGGAGGCTGACAACGTGGTTGTGACTGGCTGCGACCAGTGCACCCCAGGGGACGAGCGCTGCCCGTGCACGGTGGAGTGCGAGGAGGGCTTCGCGCTCATCGGCCAGGCGGCCCCGCGGCGCGGCTGCTCCGCCGACAGCCCGAAGATGGGCCCGGCGCCGGTGTGCATCCAGGCGGAGCCGCTCAAGTGCCCGTCGCCAGACGTGCGAGCGGACATCGAAGAAGAAAAACCGCCATAAACATAAACTGTTGGCGCTCCGCGCGGATTTCTTGGATCCGCCCTGGGCCCCCCCCGGCGGCGCCTCCAGCGCCGCCCCCGGCGCGCTCCGCGCGCCAGGGAGGGGGGTCCAGCCCGGATCCAAGAAATCCGCGCGGACCTCCATCAGTTCTTTAATATGGTTGGGTTAGCTGCGTCGCCGATGTTGGCGGCCCGCCCAGGTGCCCGAGTGCCTGGGTGCCCAGATGCCCGGGAGCTGCGTCGCCGATTTCGGCGGCCCGCCCGGGTGCCCGGGTGCCCGGGTGCCCCGTAGCCATACAGCCCTATAGCTTTATAGCCCTCTAGCCCTATAGCCCTGTAGCCCTATAGCCCTATAGCCCCAATAGCCCAAGAACCATGTAGCCCTATAGCCTGTAGCCATATAGCCCTAGCCCCATAGCCCAACAGCCCCATAGCCCTCTAGCCCCATAGCCCTACAGCCCTATTGCCCCATAGCCCCCCCAAACGATTCTGATTGGGGTGTCTCTCCGGTGTCATTTCTGCTTATGTGGTTCTGCATTCCTCCAGGACAGCTGGGGCGACAGGCTTCTGGGCCTCTCCTGGAGGGACGGGCTGAGCATGGTGGGCTGCGACTGCGGCCCGGACACCGAGCCCTGCGAGTGCGACATCAGGTGCTCGGCCGGCTACAGGCTCATGAGCGGCACGGAGGGCGAGAAGGTCAGAAGAGGAAAAGGTACCCATACCTCTACCCTCTCCTCGTTTCCCCTTTTTTGGGGCATCCTGGGCCTCTGTCGTCGCCACCGCTGGACTCGCCTCGAGATCCTGGTCAGAACCCACCCCGGGAGCGGTCCGGGGAGCAGCGGTATCGGTACCTCTCGGTTTCCCCAGAAGGAGTGCGTCATCAAGGACGCATCGGGCCTCCTGCAAGAGAGGCCGTGCAGCAAGGTGAAGCAACAGGACGAGTGCCTCAGGTCGGTCTGGAAGGGCGAGCAGTGCTGCTGGTGGGCGGGCATTTTTGGCAGGGGCACATGTGGGCTGACGAGCGACAACTTCGTGGAGAAAGCTCTCACGTGGCGCGTGGGCAATCCCTGGAAGTGTACTCAAACCCAGGTGGCGGAGTGGGACGACCTGCCAGTATGCCACCACAAGTGCGATCCGAGCAAGCTCGCCCTCGGCGACCGGCTGAATGCTGTGGGTTGCGACGACTGCACGGCCAATCAGGGAGACTGCCAGTGCCGTATCACATGCAAGGATGGCCTTGGGGACCGAGACGGGGACGCAGGCGTGTTGCGGGAGTTGACGTGCAAGGTCCTGCGACGAAATCTACACACATCCATTGATCCCTGGCCGGGCTCATCCTGCACCCAGGAGCTTTGTACACACCCTCTGGACCCAGCCAGGAGGGCGTGGCGTATACACAGCTCCTGGGTTCAGGATGGCCTGGCCAGGGAGCAACGGATACGTATAGATCTCGTCGCCCTACCCAGGGGAACGATCTGAAAGCTTACTGGGCCAACGACCAGGACCTGCACCTCCTGTACGGCAAGTGCAAGGACGAGTGCCCTCCCCTCCACTCGCAGGGCGGCACCCTGAACTTGGAACGGTGCCCCACGAACGGCATCCTCATGGAATGGGATGTCGGGGGAAGGAGAAGCGACACCGCCACTGCCGGGGGAGCCGCCTCCAGCCAGGAGGTCCACGAGGCCTCCCCGAGCTGGGGAAAAGGGATGCCTCGAGCGAGAGGGGGGACCACACCACCAGGGCCCCCCCCCCCCTCGGCTCCTCCACCTGGTGGTCCCTGGTGGTGTTGGTGTCGCTTTCCCATGCTCCTAGGACAAGTGCCTCGTCAGCTGCCGCAGCGGGAACAACATCCAGCGGGTCGGCGGCGCGCGAGACAACAACTGGGTGAAGTGCGGCAGGGCCCGCCTGCCCCCCCACGGCCTCGAGATACCGCACTCGGACTTCCCGGTCTGCGCGCCGATGTGCGACGTGCCCGACAACCAGTACAGGATGGAGGGGTTTCTCCGAAGGGCTAAGGCGACCCGTCTTCTTCCTCCTCCTCCTCCTCCTCCTCCTCCTCCTCCTCCTCATCCCTCCTCCTACTCCTCCTCCTCCTCCTCCTCCTCCTCATCCCTCCTCCTACTCCTCCTCCTCCTCCTCCTCTCCCTCCTCCTCCTGCACACTTACCGTCTCCGTTTCCCCCTCCCGCTCCTCCTCCTCCTCCTCCTCCTCCTCCTCCTCCTCCTCCTCCTCCTCCTCCTCCTCCTCCTCCTCCTCCTCCTTGGGTCGCCTACGGCCCCGGGGGAAACCGTGCAGTACAGGAATCAGGCGTTCGCAAACATGGATCAAGTGGGCGTGGATTAGCGACGGGTCCCGCTTCTATGGGCCATGGGAAATCGCGGATTTCCGCCGCCGAGCGAGGCGGCACCGGCCACATTCTGGGGAGGGCACCTTTTTTGATTTATGGATTTGGTGACCGCGCGCCAAGTCCACGGATCGCTAATCCATGTTTGCGCGCCCCCGCAGGAAGCTGGACATTAGCCGGTGCTCCTCGCGATGTGCCGGCGGCACGGACTGCAATTGCTATGTCCGCTGCACGGGCGCCCAGAGCGGAGGTGGCGCCTCGGGCGACAAGAGGTGCAGGCTCTTTCCCGGCAACGACACGGCGGACGCATGGGCCGCCTGGGTGGATGCCGACCGGGAGCTGGAGGACCGCGTGAGCTTCACCTTGACGGTCGACGTCAGCAGCGAGCAGAAGAAAAGGCGGTCGGTTTCGGAGTGGGAGTCGGTGATGAAGCGCGCGATCTCCGAGGCGCTGGGATACACGGTGTTGCCCTCCGATGTGTCGGTGGCTCTGGTCTGGCCAGCGTCGACGTTGCGGGTCCACGCGAAAGTTTACAGCGGGGCGAGCGGCAAGCAGGTGGAGGCCAGCGTCAAAGGTGCGCAGCTGCAGGATGTCGTTGCGGTCGCCCTGGGCAGGTCAGGGCCGTCGGAGGTGACGGGTTTCGCAGTCGAGGGCGTCAAGCTGGAGCCAGCACAGCAGGGCTGGAACCAGCTGCCGCAGTGCCTTCCGCCCATCACGATCGAGGTGGTGAGCGCGAAGACGAATAGAGGCTGCAGCTGCTGATGATGATGATGATGACGATGATGACGATGACGATGACGATGACGATGACGATGACGATGACGATGACGATGACGATGACGATGACGATGATGATGATGATGATGATGATGATGATGATGATGATGATGATGATGATGACGATGACGATGACGATGACGATGACGAGGACGATGATGATGATGATGAGGATGATGATGATGATGATGATGATGGTGGTGGTGGTGGTGGTGGTGGTAGTGGTGGTGGTGGTGGTGGTAGTGGTGGTGGTGATGATGATGATGACGATGATGATAATGATGATGATGGTGATGGTGGTGGTGGTGATGATGGTGATGCTGATGATGACGATGATGATGATGATGACGATGATGATGATGATGATGATGATGATGATGATGATGATGATGATGATGATGATGATGATGATGACGATAACGATGACGATGACGACGACGATGACGATGAGGATGATGACGAATAGAGGCCTAATGGGCGCGACGATCAGCATCTACCCAGAGGAGGACCGCACGCCGGGCACGGAGACCCTGACAGCAGAGACGGATCGCATTGGTAAGGCGAAGCTGGCCACGGAGGGCAGGTTTTACAGGGTCTCCATGGAGAAGTACGCCTCGGCGGTTGGCTTCTTCGACAGGAGCACGTGCGGCAGCAGCCAGGCATCCTGCAACTTCAAGGTGGCGATATCTCCAGAGTTGCCCGGCGAAGAGCTGGCAGACGAGGACTGCAGCTTCGTGGGAAGGGGGCCCAACGACCCTGGCTTCCTGTTCCGGGCGGTGCTGACGTGGGATGCAAAGCCAAAGGACTTGGACATCTGGGCAAGGAGCCTGGACTGCGCCAGGGACATCTGGCAGAGGTACGGCTGCAACCCTGATGCGATGGACTGCCAGAAGTTGTTCCGAGATGAGACCAAGCTCGCGAGACACGAGCATTGCGTCGTTCGAAGGAGCTCCTCAGTAAAAAAGGTCGCCAACCAACTTCCTCAGTGGGCACACTGGTTCTCAAGGAAGGTCGACCACTTGAATCTGGACAGAAGTAGGCCCTGGTCCGAGAAAAACTACATAAAGTTGGACGTGGACGAAAGGAACGGGTATGGGCCCGAGACTGTCACTTTTGCAAATGTCCCCCCTGGTACGTACCAGATTGTTGTGGATACTTATGGCGGCATGGATAAAGACATTCGACTGGGCAACCCGGTGGTCACGCTGTACTTCGGTAAAAGCAGCGTCCCTTTCATATGCAAAATAGATTCGTCCTGCACCCGTTCATCGATGATGTGGAACGTCGTGAACATTGTGGTCGAGGAGGTAAAGAGGAATGCCACTTCCGAGACCTACAGGATACGCTTGAAGGACAGGCTTCAGAGCATGGAGGACATTCACCTGATGGATATGACGACAGACCCTCACTTCAGTCCACGGCATGGGTACAATAGCAGATACCTCAAGAACGTGTGCTACGGAACCTGCGAACCTTCCAACGGAGGTTTTAGCGGGCCCAAGGGGAAGCCATACGACAGCTGTGTTGAGCGCCTGGACCCTTGCGATATTCCTGACAACGAGAAGACGGACTGTGGGTATGTCGGCACCAGGCTGGATGAGTGTGACACCGACAGGTGTTGTTGGAAGGAGGTCCACGGGAAAGTCGACCATCGTGGGTATTCCGCCGTCCCGTGGTGTTTCCGCCCTAAATGAGGCGACCTCTTGTTATTTCACCGCAGTTGGGCCTACCTCGCAGATGCCAGGAGGAGGAAGACGACTGTTCGTATTCCTCGTGCTGGGTGGTTATCAGGGGCCTCTGCGCTGGATACTGTTATGTTTCCTTCTTCTCCTCGTCCTTTCCGTCCTGTAACCTTAACCACGAACACGCACTCCTCTTCGTCATCATCCTCCTTCTCTCTCCTCGCTCCTCACTCTTCCTCTTCGGCCTGCGCATCCTTCCTCTCACATCCTCTCACTCCTCCCTCCTCCTCCTCCTTTCTCCCCTCATCTCTCGTATATTTCATCTCTCTCCTCCACTCTTTCTCCTCTTGCTTCCTCCTCCCATTCTCTCTCATGGTTGTCATTTTATTCTTCATCATCCTGCCTCATCTCATCCTCATCCCTCCTCGTCTGTGTTTCCTTTTATCCTCTATCATCCCCTTTCACCAGGGCTTTGTTTGCTAACTTTTTGGTGCCAGCTGTGTT